ATATAAGCCAGTCCTACAGGAGATAAACCACGGCCCGAATAGCTGAGTAGTAAAGTCGCTGACTACAATACTGGGTGAGGCGGTTTCGAATCTCAAGTGGGATATCAGTTCTGTCGAGGTTACAGATATGCCTTGTTGACAAATGCCAAGAAGCACGAAACGTAGGTGAGGGAGGGTTTCCAGCCGATTGCCTCCAACCAACTAACACGGCATTCTCATTGATTTATTAGATTTACCATACAGTGGAAGAACAGTATTGTTTACAGGATCACATTACGGACATAATTTATTATCCATAGTTATATCAAGATAACTACACAACCTTGAGATCTCGTTTATATAGTCCTAATCTCCCCGCCTCTTTGCCATCTATATATGGGTAGTAAGATTTTCCATATATCCGAAACACAGCTGATTCATTCCTGTTTCGTGTTGTATTATGTGCTGATTTGATGGACAAAGATTCAGTTATCAATCTGTCCCTCACATATATAAATTCAATAGTCAACACAATCCAATCCATTTATGGATTAGAAAATGGTGAAGGAGAAATAGCGATGTTGAATTGTCGAATAAAAAGGGGACAGAATGACAGTTGAGACTCGATTGTGTGCTCAGAACCTTCACACATGAATCATAACTTAGACTTTAAAACCTCTCAGCCTATGTGAGTTGAAGTTGGCCTGGTAAAGTACTATATAACAAGGTCAAAAAACTTACTAGTAAAACAGAAGATTTAGGATCAGAAACCAGATACATTAAAGATACCTTATTCATCAATAATAATTATTATTATTATTTTATTTTTCCCTTGGGTTCCTAGGGAAAAATAAGGATTCAGTAGCATGTCTCCATTGCACTCTCTTCTCTACAGTCTTTTCAACCTGACTCAGTTACTGACCACAACCTTTCATTTCTTCTTCACACACCATCTCCATATCACCCTCGCCTCACACATCCAACTAATCGTCTCAACTTTGAATTCCACTCGAGGATCTGGCCTGGTGCGTGATGTTCCCAATCGGCCTTCTCAGTCTATGCCCAATCCAATCCATCTCCATATCCTTCTTCTGAATATTTATTGCGTGATAGGTTCTTGGTTGGTTTGTTACCAGGTCAGAGTGAGTTACTTGTTGCTTATTCTTGTTATCCTGGCCATCCATCTGATCTTCAGTATGAAGTGAGCGTAGGTGGCAGCTGTTGATGAATGTCTGTAGTTTGCTGGAAGTGCTTTTCGTGAAGTGCCAAGTTTTTGAACTGCATGGCACCACTGACTTGACTCCATTGGTGTTAGAAATTCGGATGTTGTTCACGCTTTCTGCTGAATGCAGTAGATCTCAACATTGATTTCAGAATGATGAAATAAGGCCTGTCTTGCTGTCGTCCCGATTCTACCTGGTTGTGACATCCTCATCTGTGCTTGTGTCACCGCCTGTAGTTGAAACCATGCCGCCTAGGTAGGGGGACAGGAAGTGAAAGAGACTACTTCCTTTAGGTTTCTCCCGTTATTGGTGATTAGTGTATGTTGTTCATGCTGTTGTTGGTTAAATGTTTTCATCACCTCCTTCTTCTCTACACTACAATCACTTGAAGTCTCGTCTTCGCTAACCTGTCCTGCCCTGCACTGCCCCACCCTCCACCACCAACTTCTTGATTTTGTCTACAGATCTTCGAATTTCTGCGACATCAGACATAAGACATCAGACATAAATCATCATCGGCGAAATCAAAATCAAAATCTTCTAGGGTCTTTTCATCAGTCAAACAGTGAGCGTATACACATCTCCTCACAACTCCTCACCGTTCGCTGCATATTCCAATCGATCACAATCAGGAAGATGATCGGTGATAGTAAGCAGCATCATTGTCTTGTCTTGTCTTGCCTTGTCTCGTCTTGTCTTACTCCTTCCTGTCCCCTGTCTTGACTGCACTTCAAAGGAGTCACTCAACTTTACATTGTGAATCACTTGGCATGTGGCGTTTTCAAATAGTTGTTGAATGAGTTTGATGAAGACTAGTGGCACTGTGTAGTGTCGAAGCAACCGCCAAATTACTTGTGGGTTGACGCTGTGTGAGGTCTTTTCAAAATCGATGAAGCAGATGAGGTAGAGAGTTGAGTTGAGTTGACTACCATTCTATACTCTGTTCAATGATGATGCTTGGCGTAGCGTTGCAATTTGATCTGTACATGCTTTGTTCCTCCTGAAGCCAACCAGTCAGCCATCCTGTTCCAGTCGTAATTTTGAATGCAGAGCATTGTTTATTTTCTCTAGGATGATGGGGCTTAATATTTTGTTTAGGGTGGACAGCAACATGATTCCGCACCAGTTCTTACAAAGACTTATGTCTTCATAGTTTTGGAGTTTGACCAGATAGCCCTTCTTCCAATCTGCAGGTACCTTTCCTTCCTTCCAAGTCTTCTGCAGTAGTGGTGTGGTGTGAGCATGTCCGCAGTTATCTCTGCTTCTGTTTTCAGTGCTTGTGGAGGAATTCCATCTCATTCTGCTGCTTTCGAGGATTTCAGTAACTTTATGGCGTACAGGACTTCTGCTTTGTCGGAAGGTATGTGTTCACTGGTATTTCTGCCGTTGCTGGTGGTATGTCTGGACGATTTGTAGGTGGTGGTCGATTCAAGAGTTTTTTTGAAGTGATCAGTCACTCCTCAACAATTACCCTCCATAATTAATTGATAAATTCCTCAGGAATAGTGTGAAAAACGTAACTAATATTATTAACACCTGTGTTAACAGTGGTGACAGTAATGTTAATAATAACGGTGACAATATTGTGAAGAGAGAATTGAAAACCTTCACAGTATTCCAACATTACAAGAAAGGCACCTCAGAAGCACTACTGACGATTCTCAATAAAGCTGACTGCCATTACAGTAGCTACCATTTAAACCCACAAAACTCACTTCGAAATAAGCATTGTGGTTTAAATGACCCTGTTGATCGAATTGAGCAGAATAACTTAGTTAACCAAATCCCCTACAAGGATTATGAGATGGAATATAAAGGTTGAAATAGTCGATCTGTCAGGATGAATCAGGCTTTTTGAGGATAAAAGCCTATGTAGATGGAACTCGGTAGATGCTAGTGAGATAAGAGATTTGGGAAGAAGCTGAGCTATAGCTATGCATGCGATTATACACAAGTACATAATAGGATGAGTGTGACAGGAATGAACTCATTGCCTTACTCATTATTATTTCTATTGTCCAAAGGATTATTATGCAACTACTTTTCAATCCTGATCCCAGCATTTAGCACTAGTCTAATGATGTAACTGTATCGTATTGTTCAATAGTAGACTATTATTCATTTGTGATATGTATATAAATATGATTGTATAGCTTCAGGAAATGATATCATCGAAGAGATAGAATTTTATCTGTAGAATCATCGCCTCTTTTCTTACGAACTTTTTTGTCGGTAAACAGCTGTTACTTCAGGAAGTTGTAGTCTTTTATTACCTGGATGCATTCTAAAAAAGGTTGAGAGGTGACTTTCCATGAAATACGAAATCGCACATATTCCGCCTTAGGATATTCAACATAACCAATTAAATAAGACCACAATTTCTAATGATCAAAATAAGATAGGCAAATGGAATAACAGCACATTTAACTGTCTGTTTGATTCATAGGCGAATGAATCCTGATTTTCACTGATCACTTACCAACAACTTTTTACAAGATAAAACCTATGTGCGGAGTTATTGCTGTTGAATTTATGAGCGGCCAGAATAGCTCAGTTGTAATATCTCTGACTACAATACTGGGTGATGTATATTTGAGTCTTGGAGTTCAGATCGGTTCTTTTGATGTTCAAGATGTATCCTGTTGAGGAGTATTAATCAGCATGAACAGGGCTTCTAGCCGATTGCTTCCAATCAACTAACATCGATCAAAGTCTACCTCCTACCTCAGTGACTACATTACATAAAGAATCTGTGAGATTCAGCCATCACTCATGAATATACAGCATGAAACTGGTTACAATCCAGTTAACAATCCATGTACTCTTGAACTGACTAGAAATACGCTTTGAACTGCATACACAACAATCCATGTATTTATCGTGAGACTTCAACGACATTAGAAACGTCAGCTTACCTTCAAGCCTTTATCATTGTCACCTTATCCGCAGTGACGAATACACAAGACATAAGATGACATGAATTTCAAGTTCAGAGGTGACTATAAGACGGCTGAGGAGTCCAGGTTAGTGTTAAACGTCAAGTTTACAAACATGTCAGAAAAATATTGCATTTCACCTGGGTGATATTCAACAGTGTCATTTTTTACTGCTTTTTAGTATGCTCATGTGAACACTGCCTTGAAACAAAGAAAATCAATAAAAAAACCAACAGCAGGAAACAGAAAAATTTACGTTAATCGTCTACAGAAAAGGATGAAAAAGTATTTTATTGATATAAAAATATGTCAAGTTGTTATTCATCGTAGACTGACATCAGTTGGCATTAACAAAGGGAACCTGGGAGCACAGGATAGCTGTTTCGTCTGACTAGTATGGGACTCCTCAGCAGTGCGCACCCACGAACCCACACCACCAGGGATGGAACCCGTGACCTTCAGGTTCCGCGGCAAGTACGTTACCACTGAGCTATCCATTGAGTCAGAATCCAATCGTCCATATTTCCGACTTCTGTTAGCTCACGATATATGGACGATATGGACGAAATATGGACGATTGGATTCTGACCCAGTGGCTAGCTCAATGGTAAGGTGCTTGTCATGAACTCTGAAGGTCTCGGGTTCGATCCCTGGTAGTGTGGGTTCGTAGATGCGCACTGCTGAGCAGTCCTATACTAGTTGGACGAAACAGTGGCTTTCCAGTGCTCCCAGGTTTCCTTTGTTCCTCCAACTACTGATGTCAGACTACGATGAATAACAACTTTAAATATTTCCAAATCCTTATAAATCCCTCAAAATAAAAATGTATCTTTTTATTTATATTGTTAATGAGTTCACTTACGCCTTGTTGCCCACCGATTTTATCATCTCGTCCAGATTTTAAATTCACATTTAGTTGACAATAGGAACTCTCTAAAAATATCACACCAGATGGTCTTTCTGCACGTTCACATTCAAAGTAGAATAGAAGATTTTGATAAAGAAGGAAATAGCTAAAATATGAGAAAGGTGAATAGAGAAGAGATATAAACAAAAAAAAATTGTACATATAAATGAGTTTTCACTTAACAAATAAACAAAAGGTGAAACAAAAAACAAAGGAAACAATTAATGTGTAAAACCTTGATATTTCATTGGAAATCTGACTGATTCATATAAGAAATCTGACAGAATGATATTCAACATTATATCCAAAGAAAGTGATAACCTAGTTGAAGGGAAATATAACCTGAGAGTTTAGGTAGGTGATTTATTAAGATTATACATAACTTGAAATGGAAGTTATCATTGAAGTTGAAACAGAACCTCTAAGACAATCGTGTGATATGATAACGATACAGAAGGATGGGGATTTACTGATCAGTTAGTTAAACAGCATCTGGGTAACACCTTAGACCTGATTAGCATTTGGAAGGGGGAAGGGAGGTCATAGTTTAGTCTGTAAAACACTAGGTCTTTAATAAGAAGTAATGATGGATAGTGGCTAGCAGTGGAATCCAGGTTGTTACTTCTCACATTTCCATGATCCATCACGATACTTTGACATTGGCTTATTGTCGACTGATTTATTAGTTTGGAAGGAAAACAAAAGAGGTCCACAACACATCTTGACGATACTTTTCATCAATATCTCTGATAGGTTAATCGTTGCCCTGGTATGATACTCTGAACCCCTAATCATATATACGTCTATCGAGATACAGACGAAATGTGTATCGTTTTAGAGTGAGGATTCTATAATTCAGTTGATTGGCTGAAATGGAGTGAAATTTCTTTCTCTAACTATCATCATACAATTATGTAGATCATCTTAGAGTCGTCACATTCACTTCAAACCATCGAATGGAACAAAAAGCCAGCAGCAAATGACGAAACATGCCTTTCGATTCAAAGACAATCGAAGAGATAATTCAGAGAAGAAAACTCTGTCTCTTCGACAATATCATTTTCTAAGTCTGTACAATCTTATGTTTACCATTATTATTTTTCCCTTGCGTTTCTAGTGGAACATAGGGCTTCAATGGCACATCTCCGTTTCACTCTCTTCTCTTCAGTCTTGTGAACCCGGCTCTAAAGCTGTTCAAAAGCTTTCATTTCTTCCTCACATGATCTCCTTCATGACACCCTCGAACGCCAGACTCGTCGTTCCTCATGCGGGTTCCATTCCAGGGCCCGGCGTGGCGTGTGATGTCCCCGAATAGTCTTCTCAGTGTGTGCTCGATCTATCTCCACTTTGTTCTGCATATTTGTTGGGTGATAGGTTCTTGCTTCGTTGGTTCTTTCCAAGAGTTCCTTCATTTTGGCCATCTGATCTTCAGTATAGATCCAGCGTAGGAGGCAGCTGTTAATGAATGTCTGTAGTTTGTTGGAAGTGCTTTCGTGACGCATCAACTCTCAGCTATTACACAAAAGCACTGACGTGACTAAATTAGTGTTGAAAATCCCGATGTTGTTCACGCTTTATGCTGAGTGCAGTGCAGATGATCTCCACACTGGTTCCAGGTTAATGAAGTCCCGTCTTCGCTGACCTGTCCTGCCCTGCACTGCCCCACCCTCCACCACCAACTTCTTGCTTTTGTCTACAGATCTTCGAATTTCTGCGACATCAGACATAAGATATCAGACATAAATCATCATCGGCGAAATCAAAATCAAAATCTTCTAGGGTCTTTTCATCAGTCAAACAGTGAGCGTATGCACATCTCCTCACAACTCCTCACCGTTCGCTGCATAATCCAATCGATCACAATCAGGAAGATGATCGGTGATAGTAAGCAGCATCATTGTCTTGTCTTGTCTTGCCTTGTCTCGTCTTGTCTTACTCCTTCCTGTCCCCTGTCTTGACTGCACTTCAAAGGAGTCACTCAACTTTACATTGTGAATCACTTGGCATGTGGCGTTTTCAAATAGTTGTTGAATGAGTTTGATGAAGACTAGTGGCACTGTGTAGTGTTGAAGCAACTGCCAAATTACTTGTGGGTTGACGCTGTGTGAGGTCTTTTCAAAATCGATGAAGCAGATGAGGTAGAGAGTTGAGTTGAGTTGACTACCATTCTATACTCTGTTCAATGATGATGCTTGGCGTAGCGTTGCAATTTGATCTGCACATGATTTGTTCTTCCTGGAGCCAGCCAGCCAGCCAGTCAGCCATCCTGTTCCAGTCGTAATTTTGAATGCAGAGCATTGTTTATTTTCTCTAGGATGATGAGGCTTAATATTTTGTTTAGGGTGTACAGCAACATGCTTCCACACCAGTTCTTGCAGAGACTTTAGTCGCTCTTCTTCCAATCGGCAGGTACCTTTCCTTCCTTCCAAATCTTCTTCAATAATGGTGTGGTATGAGCATGTCCGCTGTTGTCTCAAGAAATCAAGAGTGGAAAGTAATTACGTGGTAATCTTTTAGACAATAAGAATAATGAGGAAGGCAATGAGTGTGTCTACAAATCTATTACTCTTGTGTAGCTTCTTATGTAGGCTACACAAACCGCTCATTTTTCAAACATATCTTTGAGCAGTATTGTGTATAGTTGTCGAAGGGGAGAATGCGCGGTAATTGACAGTTAAATTCTTGAACACTTGATCAACTCTGAACATATAGTTGGCTCCACTAGAGTCATCGTTGAGTGTTGTTTGTAGAGTCAATTGGGATAGCCTAAAAAGAGTACGCCTTCGATGATTGTGCACCACAAATGAAGCGCTGACATATAAATAATGCAACCCTGATCTTTGTGCAGAAAAGTAGTATGTTTAGTCTCTTGTCTTACTATGGTCTTAACACTTCCAAACTTTTTTTTTCAATTTCATTAAAATTAGTAAGTTTACTAAAATCACCTTCATGATGATTGTTGTTTCTTTACGTTAGTTGCAACTGTGAAGTGGACACTCAGTCGTCGTATTTCTCATCTACCAACAATTTTCCCCATTTCCAAGTTAGCATTCATCATAGACTGAAATCAGTCGGTGAATTATTGAAAACCACCTGGAAGCACTGAACAGACGTTTCTTACAACCTGCATGAGGATCCTCAAGACATAGCACCCATGACCCCACTCTCCGATGACCCAACCAACGACCTTCAGGTTTCAGGGTCAGCGCGTTACCACCGAGACACTGAGTCGGAGTCTAGTGATCCATATTTCCAACTTCTGTCAATTCGTAACATAGCATCACCACCGCACAATGTCATCGTTGAGTAACTGTCCTCACACCCATCAGTCACAACTTCCGATTGGGACTTCGAGAATCATCGCTCAAAGCCAGTCACCTTGTCAAACTCCTTGCCTTCCTGGTCATTTCCACTGTCTAAACGATTATTACGTAATCACTTTCCATTCTCCATTTCGGTCTTTAAGCAGTAGCTAGCCCAATGATGCAAGTATACACTACTGTTCAATAATGGACTGTTACACATTTATGATGTGTACATAAATACGATTGTCCAGCTTAGAAAGTGATAATGTTGAACAGACAGGATATTTCTTCGTTGAATTATCCTCTTCTCTCTAGAACCAGTGATAATTAGCAACTATGTTAGGAATATCTCTCTCCATATATGTGCTGATGGGGAACTATGACCAAACAAATAAGGGTTGAAGACATATGCTTCCTATTGATGCAGTAAGATGACAGTCATCGATTAAAATCCGTTCAACAACCACTGAAACAACTCATTATCTCAGTGATGTTGATCTATGACGAAAAGCAGGTTGAAATCAAGACATGATTTGAATTACGCTCAAGTACTCACTAATGACCAGCTTCAGGAAGGATTTCTTGAATGTTTAAATGAGAATTCGCCACCAATATGGTGAACAAATTCGGAAAGAAGGTGGATGCAAAACACTGGCACTGGCACTGGTAGAGTGTATAAATTTAGAACTATGTAACAAATCAAGTGGAAAAAGTAACCTTAAAAATTCCTTTCGAGTTACCTTACTGCATGACCTTATGGTCATCTGTTGAATTCGCTGAGGAGTAGTCAATGTTCAACACTAAATATTCTGAGACAACGAATAAAACAGATGCCATGAATGGTTCCCTGACTGATCAGACTATTCGAGAATCAATAATCCCCCAATACAATCCACCAGAAGATTGAAAATGTAAGACTTTTTTCTTTAATCAACTATAATAAATATTCATAGCTAGTTGGTGCTGTTTGTAATATGTACAACTATGCTTTTATTCAAAATCAGACAAGTTTTGTAATTCCAACTAAGTAGGATCTGATTACTAGGTGACTGTTCACACGTATCAATGCCTCAGTGGTGGATAACGCTTATCTATCCAATGACTTGAAATGACCATTGTGGCTGAAAATGCTTGTCAAGATTATTAAAGCTCCACTGTTTATTGTATTAGCATTATTTGTCCCTTGGGTTGCTAGTGAAAAATGGGGCTTCAGTAGCACGTCTCCATTGCAATCTCTTCTCTGCAGTCTGTTCAACCTGGCTCCACGTCTGCCCACAAGCTTTTATTTCTTCCTCATACCATCTCCTCCATGTCACCTTCGCCTCAGACGCCCAACTCGTCGTTTCCCTTTTGGACTCCATTCGAGACCCTGGTGTGGGGTATGATGTCCCCAAACCAGCTTCTCAGTGTATGCCCAATCCAATCCATCTCCACTTTGTGCTCCATATTTGTTGAGTGATGGGTTATTGGTTGTTTCGTTGCCAGGTCAGAGTTCTGTCTTGCTTATTTTTATTATTCTGGCGATCTGATCTCCCTCTTCAGTACCGAGTGAGCGTAGGAGGCAGCTGTTGATACGTCTGCATTTTGTTGGAAATGTCTTTGGTAACGCTCCAAGTCTTTCACTAATTAGTGTTGAAAATCCGGATCTTGTTCTTTATGTTTAGTGCAGTACATCTCCACACTGATTTCAGATTGATGAAGGAGGGCCTGTCTTGCTGTCTTTCCGATTCTGGCTGACTTTGAAGTCCTCATCTGCGTCGCTCTAACGTCTAGTATTTTAAGTCACATTGTTTTCAATTTGACAGCTTGTGGGGAATTTATCTATTTCAGGTTGGTATTCATCAGAGCCTGATATCGGTTTGAAAAATATTGGGTACCTAAGAGCACTGAACAGCCTTTCCATCCTGGTATGGGACTTCTCAGAACTGCATACACATGACCCTTCAGGAATCGAACCCATCGTGGCCAGCCATGTCGAACATGATGACAGACACTTAGAGACGCCATTGGATGAAGGTCACGCTATATCGTGAACTGACAGAAGTAAGAAATAAGGATCATTGGATTTTGACACAGTAGCCATCTCGTTGGCAACGGAACCTGAATGTCCTGCTTCCGTGGCGGGGTCATTGATGCTAATCGGATGAAACAGCTCTACAGTGCTCTCAGGTTTCCAACATTTCTCCAAATGATGTCAGTCCATGATGAATACCCCATTGTGTTAATTGGTTCCTCCTAAACTTTATTATATACCTAAGACACAGAGTCATAATCTTGATATGTAAACCGGAAAAGTATTTGATAAACTGAGTGAATTGTTGATGGTATTGATTCCTTTGCAATTTGATTGATTCTTTCGAGTCAGTACTGAGAACAAGATATCTACTTTTACATTTATCCAGCTGGCATATTCGATTGAATCTATCGGTGGAAAAACAATAATCCCTTTTGAAAGATGAATGAGATTCCTTCTAAGCTGAGAAAGGTGGAAAGAGTGACAGATATCATGTCTACTTATAGTTAGGGATGTGTGTATGTGTGTATGAAATAATTTCTACTGACTTCACCTTGTTTCATTTCAATTTTTCTATTCTTCTGTTAACAGATGAAATGTTGATTATTTTAACTGTCACCTTCGTATATAGGATATTCGATTGGACGTTGAAATGGGATAACTTTCAAGTTCCTTTTAAATTCTGTCAAAACAAATTGATTTTGATGCAATGAATGTATCACATTGCTGTTTTCCACCATTCTTCTTTAATCGTTTCCTTTGTCTTTTCGTCTGCGATTACGTTTACACACTACTGCATACAATTTAATTCATGAATGTTTAAAATTATCCAGTTTTTCTTTTGATGTTATAACCCAAAAGTCTGCATCTTTGACTGAAACGAATCAATCGGCCAATATTGGTATAAAGACCCCTATGCAATGCTTCGATACTGTGGGTGCATAGAGTTGGATCCATCAATGGCCAGTTAATTTTATCGAATCAACGATGTAGGCATACTAGCTACAGCATCCGTGTTTCAGATGCTCTCTGACCACTTATTACACTGTAGTCTGCTTGGTGATTGACAATAAAATCCGAAGTATGCGTTTCATCTTATTAGGGAATCATCAGTTACATGTAACTATGCCTCCAGTGAGTGACGTTGTTTCCACTGAGACTGGAAACTAATGCCTTATGCCTTAACAGCCTAGTGGATATTGCTTGGTGTTTAGAGTGATAGGTGTTTGGTTCAAGCATCACTAAGGTCTAGACATATCCAGCTGACAAGTCACATGTAGAACGAAACACGCCTCCTGGTTTACACTGACAAGCATCAGATAGACTGCAGTACTCTTTAGATACCTAACCATATGAATCTTTATGTAGCTGATGTAATTTCAATCAAATTACACGCTGAATTGATTTAACTGCCCTTTTTTGGCGCTAATTCAATGTTACCAGCAATTCAAACATACATATATGTGTTTAAAAGAAAAGTTTACTTACCGTAATTGCCATTTACTTGTATCTAAACTTTTCTTCCATAGATTACCTGAGAGTTTAGCAGTACCATTTTCACGTGCTTTATTTACTAAATAGTAAAGTTGTTGTTCATTTGCTCGTAACGACTTTTGCATTCTTCTCCGTTCAATGATAGTATTCTTAGTAAAAGGGATATCTTTTCAACGACTCAGAATTCAATTTCTTCTTCTCCCTCTTCGTTGTCTGACTTCAGACTATCTCTATATGTATACCTTGAATAGATTTTGCTTTGCTCTTCATGTACTTATGTTGTTGTTATTGTTGTCGTCCCAACTTAGGTTCATGAATGTTTACCTGTGGAAAAAACAAAACAAAACAACGAAAACTAAAATACTATGACTACGACTGATAGTCAACTACTTAAATGAGCATGTGAGTAGTAAGTAGAGCTCAAATTAAAAATAATCCATCTTTTTATTTAAAGTAGATTTTTAGGCGAAGGAGGGTACGCAGGTGTGCTGAAATGAAGAAAAAATATACTTTTTTGACTTCTAATATAGATGAAAACACCTCTGTAGACATTTATGAACAAACAGTGCATTTAGAAGATTTGGAAATATTCTTTGACTAAAGGTGTATTTATTTGACAAGATGGCTAAAATATTAAAAATTTAGAAACGCATTCATGATGAATAGTCGCTACTACTGGAATCCAAGACTCAATTTTCGTCCTGTCTGAGATTCGTTGGATGGAATTAACCGCTTCATAATGAATGGTGTTATTTCCCAGAAGACTTGGACCTGATGATAGATCGCTTCACACGTTACTCACTAGGCCATGAATTCACAATAACCACTGTTAAAGCGACAGTTATAATACAGTTGTTGACTGGATCGAAATCACCAGCCATTAATGGTATATGGGCTCCTGAGGGGACATTATGCACCGGGAGGCAAGTGCATTCAGCTGATGAGTCTCAAATAGGATGAGATGCGCATCCTGGATTCCACTGGTAGTCGAGATTTCTCCCCATCGATAGCAACAGCGTACTGTTTTATGTACATACTAATGACAAATACAATAATAGGATTAGGGTTACTCGATTTCTCCATTCCTTTTTAATAGTGCCATGGATGACGTTCTTAAAACAGCTTCGGCTATCCTGTAGACTGAAGCCTCATGTCTAAACATCATATGTACACATAAAAATGTACAGCCTTCTAAATAAAAATGTTAAATAACCTTATTGGTTACTTAATAAAAGAGTAATACTTGGGCACTGTGGTCACTTGTAATTTCATTTTAGTTTGTTTATCAGAAGTATCACACAGTGAAACAGTATCGTTTATTGGATAATGTTTCGGACACAATTTATTGTCCATATTCATATCAGGTAACTGACTCCACAACTTCGAGACAGACTTTATATATTCACAATTTCCTCTCCTTCTCTGTGATGACATGGGTAGTAGGATTTTCCATATATCTGAGACAGGTGCAGAATCATTCCTATTGCTGCATTTATTTGGTGTTGATTCGATAGACGATGAAGATTCGGTTATCAATCTCTCCCACCCTCCACCTAACTAAGTTTTCAACACTATCGCCCTATCCTACCCTTCTGTGTGGTTGAGTGTCATCGCATGTAGAGCTACAGCAGAGCTTTTCTCTAGATTTCTTATCTTATTAGGACCTACTAATCTTGATTTAGTTAAGTTTTTGTCCTCTGTTATTGTAATCAACCCTGGTCGACTGCTTTGACCTCGCAATTATTTCAAGGGATTTGGTTAACCATATTATTTTGCTTAATTGCATCGATAGGATCTTTTAAACCACAAAGCTTGTTTCTAAGTGAGTTTGTTGGTTTGAATGCCACTTGATTCCCAGTCAAGCCTATTGAGAATTCTTCGTAATGCTTCTGAGGTGCCTCCCTTTTATGGTAACACAGCAGAGGCTTTGAATTCTCTCTTAACCCTGTCGCCATTTTTACCATTAGTAGTGGGATTATTAATAATAACACTTGTATTCGTCACTTCAATCGAGGCTGGGAGAATACAGTTTGGCGTTTCAATTCATTACCTGACATCTGAGACATTACTAGGAATAATACATCTCACTTTTACTTCGGTGACTGAGCAGGGACATTTATTTGAAGTGTCATTTTTGTTATCATTACTCAATCCCTCCAGATGTCAGATGGTTAATTTTAGCTGAAGATATGAAAAAGACATTTGTACATTGGTCCAGTCCCATGACTATTGTCTTATAGATGGTACTGTTGTAGAGAATGTAGCAAGCATGGTCCATCTTGGCTTATGCTTTTCTTCTGACCTTTCTTCGTCTCCTCATCTCTTACTAATTTCTAGGAAAATCCTTCGCTTGACTTTTTATATTCCGAAACTCAGACTGCCTGACATAACTCAGCCTCTACCCTGACGTTTCATTAATTCCTGTGTTTTACCAATGCTCACTGATTGTTCCCTCTTATTCTTTCCTAAAATCTGTAAAAAAGACTACGTTGTATTGCGCAGGATTTTGAAGACTGTTAGTAGAGCAAGTAGCACACTCCTAACCGAACTGATAAATGCTGTCATGGATAGGCATCTGAACTCTTGTAGACAGTTAGCTAAAAATATATTTCTTGATGACAAGCATCCTCTGCATCCACACTTCTGTCCATTTCTATTGTCTGGGAAGACATGAAGCAAATATATTAAACTCAGGATTAGACAACATGAAACTGGTCACCTGTCTGTGACCAACTAATGCACAGCGTAACTATCTATTAAGGTTTTCAGTTGACATCTCACATGTCGCGCCTTCTCATTTGAACTTCACGATATCCATCTAGAAGTATGTCAATAATGAGGATTATGCAGTATCGTATTTTGAAATTTTTAAGGATTTCATTTATTTCAAGGTAGTATTCATTCAAAAGTTATATTCAATTTAGAAAAGATAAGGAGTTACTCGAAGAAGACTGGTTACAATGGAATGCACCAAAGTTTATCTAACTGTTTAACTTCTTTGAGATAAAATCTCATTTCAAAAAACACTATCTGTGATCATACTAAGCAACTGTATAAAATTTATCTGATTCCCTGGAGTTTATCATGCCCATATCATCAATTCAGAGAGATTAGATCATTATTACACTATTCAAAATAAATCAACATATGTGTATATTTCAAGTTGTTATTCATCGAAGACTGACATCAGTTGGAGGAACAAAGGAAACTTGGGAGCACTGGACAGCTGTTTCGTCCGACTAGCATGGGACTCCTCAGCAGTGCGCACCCACGACCCCACCAGCAGGGGTCGAACCCGCGACCTTCAGGTTCCACGGCCAGCGCGTTACCATTGAGCTAGCCACTGGGTTGGTGGGATCCAATGCTCCATATTTCCAACTTCTGTTAGCTCACGATATAGCGCAAACCGCCACCCAATGTCATCGTTGAGTAATTGTCCTCACGGCCATCAGGCTTTGACTCCACCGGTCACGACTTGTCATTGGAACTTCGGGAATACTTCTCGAAGCTAGTCACCAACGAGCACTAGTTCAATTAAATTTTGAGGGGGTTGTGGAGCTAACAGAGCTAACAGAAGTTGGAAATATGGAGCATTGGATTCCACCAACCCAGTGGCTAGCTCAATGGTAACGCGCTGGTCGCGGAACCTGAAGGTGGCGGGTTCGATCCCTGCTGGTGGGGTCGTGGGTGCGCACTGCTGAGGAGTCCCATACTAGTCGGACGAGACAGCTGTCCAGTGCTCCCAGGTTTCCTTTGTTCCTCCAACTGATGTCAGTCTTCGATGAATAACAACTTGAAATATTTCCAAATCTCCACAACCCCCTCAAAATTTAATATGTGTATATGCATAATAATCCATTTAAACACTATCAACTTCAAGGTCACAATAAGTAATGTTCAAGAGGATTGATCAAACTTATTTCAGGCCTATGTTAATCATTTTTTTTCTTTCAATTTATGTCAATATTACAGATTTTATTTTAATTCTTTTGTGTTTTTAAAAAAAATTTTAAATATACATCAAAATAAAACAGAGAAAAAATGATTTTAATTATACTACTTTTGTTTTAATATGTTTATTCGTGTTAAAGCGCGCGCGCTCAAGCGTGTGTGTTGGTATGTTTGTTTGTTTAGCCACGCATCTGTTCAATTTTCAATCCATATGTTTTGTTTGATTCTTTTAACAATAGATATACAAAATAAGTCAATGCTTTACTCGATAATCTTTGTTAAATAAACTATTACTAAATTTAATCATTTCATGTTACTATTTCTAATTATTTGTACTCAAGTTTTCTTTTTGTGTTTCAATTTTCATTTATTTATTATTTAGAAGTAGTATTCATCATGGAATGACATCAGTTGGGGAAGGATTGAAAATATGGGAGCACTGGACACCTGTTTCGTCCAACTAGTATGGGACTCCTGAGCAGTACGCACCCACGATCCAGCTAGGGATGCAACTCACAACCTTCAGGTTTCACGGTGAACGCGTTAACCATTCAGCCACTCGGTCAGTTTTCAGTGGTTGACAATTTCCAACTTTTGTCAATTCACGACATAGCGTGACTGTGACCCAAGGTCTTCAGTTAGCATCCACTTCACTTCGGCCTGGTTGACCTCAAAGGTCACAGCTTCTCATTATTTGCTTACTCTGTCGTGTACCGTTAATTCTATCATTTCATGTCTAAATTACTGTTAGTGGAAATAAGTAGTAAATTTACACGACTGTTACTAATCCTTTATGGTATACTGTAAAAAGTTAGTTGAGAAAGAAACAGTTTATGAGTGAGATATGTATGAGCTCGAAGACAAACATAGAAAATACTTTCGTGAAGAATTTTACTTTATCTTGTTTATTTTCCTCATTAAGTTTGAATATAGCAAACATATGGGACTTCTCAGCAGTCCGCATACACGACACTATCATGGAATCCAACTATGAAACCTTGAGACCTCATGGTTAACCACCTGCTATTGGTTCACAATTTCTAGCTTTTTTCATTTAGTGAAATAATGTAACCGTCATTCACGCCCTATGAATCCAAAGCTTCCCACCAAAACTTCGAGAAATCTTCCTCAATGAGTAAAAATAATAAGCTACTGATAGCATGTTAATTCTCTC